TATGTATATGTTGTGAAAGCTAATTATTTTAATTAATTCTGTTCTATGAATAAAAATATCGATATTCCATATTCTTGCAAATCAGAAAAGTAAGGAAGGAAAGCGGGACATTTATAACCATAAACAATTGTATATATATTCTCAGAAATATAATAAATATAGTATAATCATTCCAATATCTAATATTTAATTTTCCTTTACCTTTGTTGTCTTGGGTTTCTCCTACTTTCTGTGTATTTTCTTTTGACTGTCCGTGCTCTGAGTAGTAGTCTATGTAGTAACCTCCGCTTGTTTCCTCATTTGGCGTTCATTATTATGCTGACTTTTCACTGCCCTTCTTATTATTTTGGCTTTCTTTTCTTATATTTCTGTGGTTTTTGTTTTATTTTTTATTTTTTTCCTCCTTATTTTCTGTTTTTTCCGGGCTTCTTTCTGTTGCTTTATGGCTTTACGGTATTTTCTGGCCTCTCTTTTCGGCGTTTTCCGGCATTTCCTTCTTTCCGGCTTTTTTGTTTTGCAGCTCTTTCACTTTGCGGCTTCCTTGTTTTCAGCTATCGGCTTGCCGGCCTTTCTGCTGCCGGCCTTTTTCTTCCTCGTCCCTCTGTCTGGGGCCTCTCAGGGGCTCTCTGGAGCTCTCTGGAGCTCCTTGGCACCGCCGCGTCCAAATCGTCTCCGGCTTTCTCCAGTCCAGGTCAGTCTCCTCTCAGCCTCCTCTCCGCCGCCTCGCCTCCTCACCGTCTTACCGCCGCTCCGTCGGTTTGCTTTCCGTCTCCGTCCTCTCGCCGCTCCTCCTCCGGTACTCTGCCGCTGCACCGCCGATCCTCCGTCTCTTCCCTCGTCTTTCTCACCTCATTCCGGCCTGTTCCCATCAGCTTTTCGTCAATCTGGCCAGTGGCTTTGGCTTTCACCGTCTTTCTCACTGTTCTCACTGTTCTTTCACGCAGCTTCACACAGCTTTCTCACCGTCTCTTCTCGCAGCTTCTTCTGCTTAGTGGGCTAATGGACTAAGGGTTAAATCTCTAGACAACTCTATTTTCTGTTTTCTGGTCGGTTCATTTCATTTCTGTAAATGCTCAGTTCAGCTTTAGGTTCCTTCAAAGCTGCTTTGTCTTGGTTTAATAAATGTTCTTTCTTTCTTTTCTCTCCGCTTTCCTTATCTTTCTTGGTTCTTTTTGTTCGGGTTTCTTGGCTTGTCAAATATAATGGAGGCGGTAGGCTTGCTTGCCGCGCCTTCGGCCGGCGTCCTTCTCTCGGGCTCTTGTCTGTAGTGGGGTTTCTTGGCAGGGTTGGAGGGGCTCCCAGGGGACCCCCACCACCCCTCCCTGAACACACCTGGCGAGATACTGTAACCAACCTGACCAATTTCAGTAAGACTTTTGATAAGGTTCATGCACGATAGTCTTGTAAACAAGCTAGTAAAAATTAGACAATGCTACCACTTGGTAGGTTTGTAATCAATTGACCAAAGTATCTGAAATGGTGCTCAACAATGGCTCTTCTTAATCCTGGAGAGAAATGACTAGTGGGGTGCTGGGCGAAAGCTAACAAAATGATTTTCAATAGGGAGGAATCTAAGGTATTACACTTAGGAAGAAAAAAATGAAATGCGCAGATATAGCATGAGATATGCCTGGTACAAGTGAAAGGGATCTAGAGCCTTAATATACCACAAGCTGAACATGAATCAACAGTGTGATGTGACAGCTAGAAAAGCCAATGGAATTCTAGGCTAAATCAATTCTATAGTATTGACAATTAAGGAAGTAATGTGACCATTCTATTCTGCCTTGGTCAGACCTCAGCTGGAATAGTGTGTCTTGTTCTGGGCACCAAAGTTCAGGAAGTACATTGAAAAGCTGGAAGGTTGAGGAGTGACATGATAGCCATGTTTAAATATTTGAAAGGACGTCACACTGAAGATGGAGCAAGCTCGTTTTCAGCTTCTCCAGAGACTAGGACACAGAACAATGGAATCCAATTATAGGGAAAGAGATTCCAACTAAACATTAGGCAAAACGTCTTGACGATATGAACTGTTTGACCGTGGAATATGCTGCCTCAGAGTGTGGTGGAGTCTCCTTCCCTCTGACAAGCACTCTGTGAATTCCTAGATGGCCCTCTTCCAACTCAGTAAGAACTGTAAGATCTGCCAAGCGTGATTCAAAAGGGTAGCTCAAAGGGTTGGGCTAGTTTCCCAACAAAAGTAAGTGAAACTGTATTTCTTAGTTATTAATAATACACTTGCAGAAATACTGCAGTTTGACACTTTAACTACCATGGCTCGATGCATGGAATCCTGGGATTCTACTTTGGTAAGGCACCAGAACTCTTTGGGCCCTTCCACACAGCCATATAACCCAGAATAACAAGGCGGGAAATCCCACAATATCGGCTTCAAAGAGGGGGGGCCTGAGTCCACACTGCCATATATTCCAGTTCAAAGCAGATATTGTGGGATTTTCTGCTTTGATATTCTGGGTTATATGGCTATGTGGAATGGCCCTTGGAAAGAGGGGGTTTTTTTTGTCGTGTCAGGAGCAACTTGAGAAACTGCAAGTTGCTTCTGGTATGAGAGAATTGGCCGACTGCAAGGACGTTGCCCAGGGGACGCCCAGATGATTTATCATCCTTGTGGGAGGCTTCTCTCATGCCCCCGCAGAGGAGCTGGAGCTGATAGAGGGAGCTCATCTGCACTCTCCCTGGACTCAAACCTGCAACCTGTGGGTCTTCAGTCCTGCCGGCACATGGGTTTAACCCACTGCGCCACCGGGGGCTCTTTGGAAAGAGGTAAAGTCTTTGTAAAACTACAAAGTACTAAAGTTGGCAGACAGAACTGCACAAGCCAGACCAAGAGTAGTATTACTATTGCCCAGATGGGAGGAACACTGAGGGCCCTTCCACACAGCTGAATCAGGTGGAATCTCTTTTCCTGTCATTCAAACCCACTCTCTTATTGTCATTAGCTAAGTATTAATTACATCACTATTAACCTTTTCTTCCATTTGGTTTAGGTATACATTGGCTCTCCTCCATGCAGCCTTACCCTTGCAACAGCCCTGTATGGCCAATCAGATCACGGCACTCAGGAGGCATATCTACACTGAAGAATTAATTCAGTTTGAGAGCACTTGGGACCATTATTTATTTATTTAGAACTTTTCTATCCCATTCTTCTCACCTTTGTGGAAGGACAGAGATGGCTAACAACAAGGATTCAATGCAACAATAAGTAAAACTCACAAAATGCTTCCTCTTCATCCTGGAAAGAAGTGATGAGCGGAGTGCCGCAGGGTTCCGTCCTGGGCCCGGTCCTGTTCAACATCTATATTAATGACTTAGATGAAGGGCTAGAAAGCATGATCATCAAGTTTGCAGACGACACCAAATTGGGAGGGATAGCCAATACTCCAGAGGACAGGAGCAGGATTCAAAACGATCTTGACAGATTAGAGAGATGGGCCAAAACTAACAAAATGAAGTTCAACAGGGACAAATGCAAGATACTCCACTTTGGCAGGAAAAACGAAATGCAAAGATAGAGAATGGGGGACAATGTCTGGCTTTAGAACAGTACGTGTGAAAAAGATCTTGGGAGTCCTTGTGGACAACAAGTTAAACATGAGCCAACAATGTGATGTGGCGGCAAAAAAGGCCAATGGGATTTTGGCCTGCATCAATAGGAGCATAGTGTCTAGATCAGGGGTCCTCAAACTAAGGCCCGGGGGCCGGATGTGGCCCTCCAAGCTCATTTACTCGGCCCTCGCTCAGGGTCAACCTAAGTCTGAAATTATTTGAAAGCACACAACAACAACAACAACAACAACAACAATCCTATCTCATCAGCCAAAAGCAGGCCCACACTTCCCATTGAAATACCAATAAGTTTATATTTGTCAAAATTGTTATTCATTTTAATGATTGTATTGTTTTAAAGTATTGTTTGCATTGCATAGGAATGCATTCATATATTTTTTCAAATTATAATCCAGCCCTCCAACAGTTTGAGGGACTGTGACCTGGCCCTCTGTTTAAAAAGTTTGTGGACCCCTGGTCTAGATCTAGGGAAGTAATGCTACCCCTCTATTCTGTGGTTAGACCACACCTGGAATATTGTGTCCAATTCTGGGCACCACAATTCAAGAGAGATATTGACAAGCTGGAATGTGTCCAGAGGAGGGCGACTAAAATGATCAAGGGTCTGGAGAACAAGCCCTATGAGGAGCGGCTTAAGAGCTGGGCATGTTTAGCCTGAAGAAGAGAAGGCTGAGAGGAGATATGATAGCCATGCATAAATATGTGAGAGGAAGCCACAGGGAGGAGGGAGCACATCAGGGGTCTGGAGAACAAGCCCTATGAGGAGCGGCTTAAGGACCTGGGCATGTTTAGCCTGAAGAAGGCTGAGAGGAGATATGATAGCCATGTATAAATATGTGAGAGGAAGTCACAGGGAGGAGGGAGCAAGCTTGTTTACTGCATCCTTGGAGATTAGGACAAGGAACAATGGCTTCAAACTACATCTGAACATGAGGAAGAACTTCCTGACTGTGAGAGCCGTTCAGCAGTGGAACTCTCTGCCCCGGAGTGTGGTGGAGGCTCCTTCTTTGGAGGCTTTTAAGCAGAGGCTGGATGGCCATCTGTCAGGGGTGATTTGAATGCAATATTCCTGCTTCTTGGCAGAATGGGGTTGGACTGGATGGCCCATGAGGTCTCTTCTAACTCTTTGATTCTATGATTCTTTGAAAACGCTTTCGAAGCCAAAGTTTCAGAGCCTGGGGCAGGCCCCGAGAAGAGAACAGGAATGCAGGCAGGGCGCCCCACTGTTTCCTTCTCCACGCTTTGCTTCGATTCCACAACAGGACGCCGCGCGCGCGGCTGCCGGGAACGTGACGTCACCCCTTCCTAGCAGCGAAAAGGAACACGCAAGGGCGGGGGGGGGGAAGAGCAGTGACGCACCCCGCGCCGGAAGCGCCCCGCCCCCGCGGTGACGTCTCGCGCCAGCCACGCGCCCCGGCCGGGCTAGGCGGTCCGTTGCCAAGGGAGGACGCGCAGGCGTAGAACGGCATCCTCCTCTTCTCTCTTTCAATCCCTAAACAAGAAACCCGGAAGTGTGCGGTGTTAAAAAAAAAAGAGGCCAAGCAGGTGGAAGGGAGACTCACCTCTCACCTTCTTAAGAATGGAGAAAATGGCGGACCTTGAGTGAGTGGAGGCTTGAAGGGCAGGGTGGATGAGGGTGGTAGCCGAGTATGGATAGAAGATATAATTATAATAGAGTATGAATGTGATAGTCGTTGGTTCTGCTGCGTTGGGTGCATCTAGGCCAGACAAGAGCAAACTTGGGCCGTGCAGGTGTTTTGGACTTCAAGTCCCATCATTCCTAACAGCCACAGGCCCTTTCCTTTTCCCCCTCAGCCGCTTAAGCGGCTGAGGGGGAAAAGGAAAGGGCCTGTGGCTGTTAGGAATGATGGGACTTGAAGTCCAAAACACCTGCACGGCCCAAGTTCACCCACACCTGGGTTATACTATAGAATGAATGTGGTTTGATGATCTGCCCCGTGTAGACCAGGCAATGTTCTCTCACGATGAGCCCAGCGTTGGCCAGACACGTCTCGTACGTGGTTTTTCTTGCTTGTAAGTATCGTTTCTTTGGAAACCCCAGTCACCACACTGACCTCACCCACGCCTTCCCAGGTCAGGTTTCAGGAAAGATGAGTGCTGTGTTAGACTCCACAACAACGAGCCCGATGGCACCTTCAACAAAATAATAATAGGGTTTTTTGTGTGTGTTTTCCAAGCTGTAATCCACGCAACAGTCACTACTAGGTTGGACTATTGCAACGCCTTATATGCAGAGGCAGCCCTAGGTAATTTTCAACAGTAAGAAAACAGTATTTTGGCGCCCCCCTCCCCAACCAATCACTGAGATATATTTTCTGTTCGTCGTGGGAGTTCTGTGTGCCATATTTGGTTCAATTCCATCATTGGTGGAGTTCAGAATGCTCTTTGATTGTAGGTGAACTATACATCCCAGTAACTACAACTCGCATATGTCAAGGTCTATTTTCCCCCAAGAGCGCCTCAAGAGTGCCCCTGGGCAAAATCAACTATACTGCGAATGCTTACTTTGTGTAATGGGTTGAGCCGCCCCTGCTTATATGCCAGCTATCCTAAGTCAACAACCCGGAAGATTCGGATGGTCTAAAATGCGGCGGCCAGGCTGCTAGTGGGATCATTTATAAGGTCCCATATTACACCGATTCTGCAACAACTGCATTGGCTACCAATAGAACATTGGATCTCTTATAAGATACTGATCCTGACATTTAGAGCTCAAAATAACCAAGGACCTTTATATCTTAGGGACCACCTCATTCCTTTTTTCCATCAGTGGTTACCTCGATCCATCCAGGAAAATCTATACATGCCGGGCCCTAGGGAGGTACACCTGAAAGCTACAAGGCTTAGAGCTTTTTCGACCTATGCTCCAATTCTGTGGAACTCATTGCCTCCATATGTTAGAGGAATGTCGAAGTTGCGACCTTTTATTATTATTATTATTAACTTTATTTGTGCCCCGCTAGCATCTCCCGAAGGACTCGATGTGGCTTACAAAGGCCAAGGCCTCAAAGCACAACATAACAATGTAAAAGCGCTCAAGACTTGGCTGTTTGGTTGTGCATTTAAGTAATCAGATCTAATTTGCCAAATAGTCACTGTTGAATGTTTTTAGGTTGATTGTTTTTATATTGTGAAATGCTATTTTAAATTGTAAGTCGCTCAGAGCACCTTTGTGGAGAGTGACTAATTAAGAAATAAAGTGAAGTGAAGAAGTATGGCCATGTTCCAGAAGCATTCTCTCCTCACGATTCACCTGCATCTCTCGCAAGCATTCTCAGAGGTGGTGTGGTTATAGAAGTGGACAGTTTCAACAGAAAGGAGGAAACCATGAAAATGAACAAAATCTGGCTACCAGTATTAAAAAAAACCCTCTAAAATTAGGACAGTAAATAAAGAGCAACACTCAGAAAACAGGAGAGATGTGGTCACGTACATAGGCAGGACCTGAACTGTATATGGTTTTATTTATTTGTTTATTTAGAGCTTTTGTAACCTGGTCTTGACCTCCGAAGAGGGACTCAGGCCGGCTAACAGCAGAAAATTCATACACACATAGAATAAACATAATAGCATCATAATACATTAATACAAAAATTCATTAAAATACAGATCATACAATTACAAAACCCAGGTTGTCAGAGTAAAATCACAAATTCATCACCATCTGCCAGTGTGGTCAGCCGTTATTGACTTTTATAGGTAATAATAATAATAATAATATTTATTTATTTATTTAAAACTTTTATATCCCGATCTTCTCTACCTCCGTAGAGGGACTCAGACCGGCTGACAGCAAAAATTCCATGCTAACACTAAAATCTAAAATATCATACAGCAACATTAAAATTAACCAATACATATAGGATAAATTACATAACAGCCATTCGCCAAGATAACATCATGTCAGCTCAGTCCGTATATTCAGCCCATATATTGTGGTCAGTAACTTTGGTCAATTGCCGGTCTCAGACAATATAATAATAATAATAATAATAATAATAATAATAAAACAGTTTGATCTGGTATCAACTTTTGTGGACAGTTGCCCATTTCATCAGATTCATCATTTCATGAAATGGACTGAAATCTACAGAATCATAGAGTTGGAAGTGACCACCTGGGCCATCTAGTTGAACCCTGTGCCATGCAGGAAAAGCACAAAGTATCCCTGATAGATGGTCGTCCAGCCTCTGTTTTCAAAGGAAGGCGCTTCCATCACACTCTGAGGCAGAGAGTTCCACGGCTGAACAGCTCTTACAATCAGGAAGTTCTTCCTGATGTTCAGGTAGAATCTCCTTTCCTGTAAACCACCAGAAGGCTTATGTTCAACCATGTTTTTTAGTCTGTTAACATGACATGAGATTACTCACCCTGAAAATTGCTGCATGATTCCAACCCATTCCACTACGGGCCTGGAAATCTTTATTTCTAATTTTTGAATTAGAAATTGACTTATTTTTCCCCAAATTTTTAATTGTAATGTATACAAATGACAAGCATAAGCAAAAATTGCATTAACTAGCAAAACAGGTACATTGCAACATTCGAACAAATCTTTTCCCTCCAACCCTGTGAACCCACCACCTATTATTTATTGTGGTTGGATTTAGGTTATGTGCTGCTTGCATTGAAGGCCTGGATTCTTGCACTCTCTTCAATTCTTCTTGTATTTGAATTTATGTGGAGTCTTATACTAATGACACATGGTGGGTGCTTTGCATATAGATGTCAGTGATCTCTGCTGTCTGTGTGACTAGGATGTTGAAGAGTCTGAAAGGGGAGGCTTCAGTGAAATAACCACCCATCCCCACCCAGATCAAGTGATGTTGGGGACCAGGAATATTTCCTCCCCAGTGTGTCAGAGACTGGTACCATATTTGCATCTGTTGGCTACAGTCCTTTCGTTCTTTCCTGTTCAATAGTTGAATATGCTGTCTCCGAATGTTATGGAGTCTCCATCTCTAGAGGTTTTTAAGCATAGGCTGGATGGCTATTAGTCAGGAATGCTTTCGTTGTGTGTTCCTTCATGGTAGGGGATTGGACTGTGTGGTCTCTTCAAGCTCTGTGATTCTATGATTCTATGAAATGTACAAGGGACTGGGAGCTGATGGATTGCGGACCCACATCAGTTCAAGTATCACTATTTTAATTATCTCTGGTGTTGTGGAACCAGGTTATATTACCTGAATTCTTTTATTAGGAGGTGTAATAAAAATGACAGGTCAGCGCTACCACCAATTGTAATAAAGGGATTGCTTCTCTTACTACTGCTATTAATAGTAGCAGATAGGTGTGGCCTGTCAAGACCTTGAGGGACAAGAGACACACACCCTCACACTAAAGGCAGGACAGTGGGATTCTTCCACTGTATTTTATATTTTACTTTGCTGCCACCATATATTTAATAAGATTTCTCTTGCTGCCACCTTCTATTGTTTCATAGGCCACCTCCTTGCCAGAATGTTCAAGAAGCCACACAAACTCTTCAGGTGAAACAAAATGAGAATGTTGTTTATTTTTGTTCTTGAACAGTAAAGACGCGTAATGGTTTCAATAAAATATCAGGCTTAACTTTACAGATAATGGTGTTTTAACTTAAGTTCCTTAAAAGCAGTATTCCACAAACAGGAATACAAACGGGTTATTCTGAACCTTTTAAATCCTTTCTCCACACCAGCCTTCTATCACTGTAGAGGCCTAACTATTTTTCTCAAAGAGGTATCTTTTAACAACAGTTCCCCAAACCCTTCCTTCTCCTTCAAACCTCCTAACCAACCATTCAAATTCCAAACCCCCAACTGACAATAACTATGACTGCCTTTGCTCTTTCTTTTTTCCTTTTGGCTCCACCCATCTCCAGTAGCTAAGCATTTTCCTCCAGTTTCATCAGCCAATGAGGCTGCTCTTCCAGCTATGGCGGCGTCTGATAGCTCCACCCCTCTGCTCTCCTTAGCTTTTCCAAGCCAGGCCTGTTTACTGCCTTTTACACCAACCCTGTAAGGTAGGCCAATCTGTTACAGGAGGGATGGTGATATCACCAACAGCCCCTCATATGCTTCCTTTTCCCTGTTGTTCACGTCTGGAGTAAAAATTAGTGACAGTATGCAATTGTGAGCAACTGTGTTGATATGTTGTTGGAGTAAATAGGAAGTAAAGATCAGTTAATTTTACAAATAGACATGTTTCTGGTGAAACGGAAAACTGCTCTAGCTGGTTTATTGATATGAATCATTACAATTTACCACATTTTTGCCATTTCCTTAAGGTGTGGCTATAAGTAGCGTTCTGACAAGTATATTTATTACTATACCAATACTGTGCCTTTCACCTTTCCCATAGTGATATAGATGTGTTCACTGTAACAACTGCAGCTTTTCTATTATGTTGTACATGCATGAGAAATGGATGGTTAGGAAAGAGAATAAGGTCAAAGTAAGTTTGAGTAGATAGCTGTTATAGTCCACCCTGCTGTCCAGAACACACAAAACCATCTTACAGTTTTTTAGGCACCAAAGGTGGCTGTTCTGAGAGCAGGACTGAGATGTGTGCTTGTAGTACCAAAATTATAATCAGGGCTTAGC